GAGGGAGAGGTAGAGACAGAGACAGAGACAGAAACAGAGACAGAGAGTGGAGCGCCAAGGCGGTTCTGTTCCGGTAGTTTAGCTCGTTGGATTTGTTTTCGGATTCTCCCAACCGCTGAGAGCTAGTTTCAAAACGATTTAATCATTTGCTATTTGCCCTTGGCTGGGATGGCCTGCGGCTAGTGGCAGCGGCTGCGCTAAAGGTCAGGTGACGTCAGAGAGTAGGGCAGACCGTGCCGGGAATTACGGCACGTTAAAATGTCGTCGCAATTTCTGACGTTGGCCTGGAATTTCGCGATCGGATGGTAAGGTCAGGATTAATTGTGAACAAGCACTACTGGGCGTAGACTTAAATTCAAAAAATATATCCGATTGGATGGTTTTGCGCTTAAGATTCAAACAAACGTGGGAATGAGGAAGTAAACGGTTCTCTGACAGTAACATCCATTACTCACTTCCTTCCTTTGTAACTGCAAGTTATTTTTTTGTCCCATCCCATACTCCGATGCATGCCGAGCGAATTCCCCAGGAGCCGCACGTCAACATGTTTGCAACAAAACTGACTGCGGATTCTTAGTCCAGTGATATTCCGTTCAGGGACAAGGTCGGACATGACTCACAAAAATGCAAGGTCCCACGCGTTTAGTGTATTGCAGCACAGGCTATTTTTAAGCCTTATCGTAGTTATAGGCAAGATCACATGACCCCAATAAAGAGCCGAATTAGACTTAAGCCGGAAATTAGATAGCGGGAGCCAAGTTCCTTCGACTTCACCCCTTTTTTGGGGGAGCATGGTCTTTTGCCATTGGTGATTGAGGAGGGACGACCCCAATGAGTTTGTGCGCTGACCTCCAGAGGTGGTGCCGTCCTGTCTTGTTCCGCTTACAGCTCGTACTCTTCGCTATCTGTTTCTCCCATTCCTTTAAAAAATAGCTATATCTCAGCATCAGTTGTTCTAGGGCGGACGTTGGCGAAAGGTCACGGCTGCCTGCGAGGACCTTGAATGTCTGGGTCGGGACTTCAAGCGGTTATCCTCGCATCATCCTCGCTCCAGTTGCCTTTTTGTCACCCAGCAGATCGTGACTGTGCCGGCGCTATTAATGTTTCCGTGCTGTTGGTGCCGGCTCGTCCCGGCGAGCTGGGCCTCTGATGTTTGTGTGCGATCCGGGTAGCGGGCCCACGCGCTTCCACGCAGGGAATGTTGAATATGGACGCACCAATTTGCCCTAACAGTGACAGCTGTACCGCAGCTATGTGCGCTGTATATATATATATATATATATATATATATATATATATATATATATATATATATATATATATATAATTTATTTCTTTATTTATTTATCTCTCTCACTCTCTCACTCACTCACTCGTTGCGATGTGTAAAGCTGAGTTTCAACACAGGTGTCTTGAATTCAGAAAGCGGTGAATTTCTAAACAACGGGCGCATTACTTTTACTTTGAATTGCGAATTCGACGTATTTCATTTAATTGCGAAATGGCGAGTTATTATCAAAATATCGCATTGTTTTATAAGGTAAGGGTTTTTGCAACACCGACTGCGCAAGCCGTGCCGATAGTTGTCACGTGCTGTCTTAGCCGATGTCCTGTTTAATCTTAACCGGGACTCCCGTAAAATTGATTTTCAGGGTTCAGCAGAGTGTTACTCACGGGCACACCTTTCAGAACAGTTTAAGAGGCTGAGCAGGGAAAATAGCTGTGCCTATTCCACTTTTTGTGCTATAATTCGCAGGGGTGGGGGTGACCTTACCATATGAAACTACATTCCTTGTGTTTCTTAGAGTTGATACAAACGGACGGAAACAATATGCGTTAACCATTTCACAAAGCTTTCTAAATTTCAGTTGTTTGATACAGCCCTGCTGCAATGAGGTCTTAGAAATAGTGTCACACTTGGCAGTATTGAACATGGATACTGAAGTTATTTGAATTTGGCCACTTGTAGCCCATTTGACCACTCTTGCATACTTGTGGACTTATATGTTCGGCTCAAACATCCACTTTTGGCGCTTGCAACATAAATTTTCCTCCAAGGATGGGTAGTGGGCTTTCTGCAGACATGGAAAATTGCTCCTTCACGAGAATAACTCCAGATTTACTGAAATCATTATTCGTCTCGCGTTGCGCCGGCCAGCAAGTTACTTTTTCTTACCGGTCATCGTCATGTAAGCTCCTTTCCTACCTAATAAGCCTCAAGCAGCCAGAAACATAGGTAACCGTAAACTTTCATGACAGCATCTTAGGAACAAGACCAGAGAGCTCGTGCCGCAACATATAAAATAAAGGCAGTATCTTACATACCTTGGGCTGATCTATTCCACCATCTGTTTTGTTGATATCCATTTCGGCTCCCTTGTACGGCTTCGGCTTTGGCTAAGGTCAAAGAAATTGTGCGGCACCAAACGAAGCCAAAACACAGGCTCCGCTACATGAACATGTTCAATTGGCATTGTTCTAATGGTCGTGTAATATGATCATGCAATGAATGTAAGATGAAAATCATGACTACAGGTAATGATTGTATGTAACTTTCTGAACGCCTTTAGTTTTATTTGGAAAAACTTAAATATATGCCTCATAATATTAATAACAGACTGCAATTACTGGACTTCATCAGCACAGAATCAAGCATGGTGATCTGTAGGGGAAATGAGCGTACCATTGTTTTACATTAACTCGGAGGCTGTGTAAGTTCATAGATATTTGACGGAGGACCGACCATCTGCTGACCGACCCACACGAGTCACACCATTCTGGTTGTGTCAGTATCTGGATTCTGACCTAATCTCATCATTTTCAACTCTTGCACCACCGAGAGTTCTGACCGTATCTTGATTGGGTATCAACAAGAAGAGCACCATTGGATAGAATGTTGCAAATTTGACAAGCAGGGAAAACATGAGCACAGCATAGTCAAATCCTGCAGAGCTATTTCTAATTTTTAAAACGTCACGAGTCTTAGCTCGTTTTGGCTCTCCCACTCGCCGCATCTCAGTTAGAAAAAAATACGTATCCTCTTTGTTTATGAAGGGCAGCTGTTGCAACTCTGGCACTTGGAATTCTGCCAACATTTTAGGGAGACCTTGATGGTTGGATAGTTGGAATTCTCAGTGTTCCTTTTGCCTTGAAACCTAGCGGGGTATTTACTGCAAGCTCCTAATGTGGTTAAAGATTGTACCATTCATGATAGACAGTCATGCTATTCAATTGATGAGACATGGTATTGATATGGTATTGCAATGATGAACACATGGTTTCAGCCATTAGGTACCCATTTGCAAATGACAGGCAATCATCTTCAGCCGACATTAAAGCTTGATTAGTTGTAGTGGGCGGTGGTATCAGGACATGCTGACTGTTTGACAATGTGGCGGTGGACGTCTGTTCTGTATTGCAAGTATGCGCATCATCCAGCTGATCGCTTCAGCTGCCATACACTCACCTTCAAGCTTTGTGCAATTATCTTCAACCAACAGTGAAACGTTATTGGTTGTGATGATGGTGATGGAGGGACGCTAAGGGTATCGGTGGCGCCGGCACCAGCGACGCAACATTGCCGAGTGTATCGACAAAATAAAGTTGATCGCAGTCAACTTTTCCACTAACGATTCATGAATGCATCCATGGATAACTCATAGATCACTTTTACAGTGCTCATGGATCACTGCAAAAGCAATGCTTGAGCAATGCTTTCACACACATACATACCTAGGAGATCGGATAGATGTGATTTAGGTGCGGTTCCCGCGTTCTCCGCAGCACAAGATGCGACGCCAATGACGCCGGTGTCCGCGCCGTATTCAGCCACGTAACATTGATCCATATATCAATGGTACACATCGTGTCCTGATTAGTTCCGTTCTGGGATTTCAGTGTCTGTGTCAATTGGTAGTCCCCTGCGTTAAAGACGCTATGTTTATCGTCGCTCGATCTCTGTCGCATGTTTTTGACGGTTTTGCCACGGCTTGACTTCATCCTTGCTCATTTGGTCACCTTCTTTCTCCTACACCTTCAGAAAGTGTCTCCCTGGTAAACATAAAAGCATACCCTTTGCTGCGCGCGCTTAGGATAACACTGATATCGACGGCGTGAATCCTGACGTCGAAGGTCACGAGGGTTGAGCCCGCCCGGTGCGCTTATCACAAGGCCATTCACGTGGCCATATGTGCTGTGCACCTCAGCAAAAAATTGTACACCCAGGTTAACAGACAGACAGACGCACGCTCTGAAATAAGTAAATAAGATGCAGGTAAACAGAGGGACGCTTGATCGCTTATGGCGAGCATACAGATCCGCAACACGGTATGGCACCGTTTTGCACATTAAGTACCCATTATCAATAACAGCCGCGTCCAGCATGCAAGCCGGGTGAATGCCATATCATTGTTTCAGTGGTTTGATGAACAATGTGGGCGGGAGCAACACTAGAACATTACAATAACAAGTTTTTCTCTTCAAGACACGAATATGTGTTGAGCTGTGTTTCACTTATTGTGTGAGAGCCCAATGAGGGGTGCCCCTGTCATTGGTAGGCTGCGTATATACTAAGTGCGTACGGGCCTCGGTATGTACACAGCGGCACTCATTTAATTTTCTATCTAGCCGCCCTAGGCACAAGAGAAAATCCTAATTTTTATATTGCGGCACTTGAATGGTGCTTCTGGATGCTTATTTTGATGACTTCCGAATTGAGACTCTGCTTCTGTTCCTCCAATCTCCAATGTGTTCGTGGAACCTGGTTTTCGGACAACAGGACTAATTGATCCAGCATAGAAGGCCCGGCCCTCGAGACATAGCGTGCCGCCGATCCTCTGTGTGGTGTGCTTTGTGTGGCACTTGCCGAGACGTCCAGCATGACAAGTGTTGCAGCGTCCACGTGCACGTGGACGAGAAGGGGTGGTATGCTGATATGATCAGCATATATGGTAAAGTTGAATATATTTTCCACGCGGCTTCAAAAGTTTATTTTTCTTCACTTATAATAATATGCTGCACCTGTTGAAACATCTGACAAATGTCGTCAATGTCAATGATGACTTTGGCGACAAACCTGTTCAAGATATGCTTGTTGATTTGGTTAAAAATATTAGCTATGTGTTAGAAAATCTTGTTGACGTTTCTTGTTGATGTGTTGGAAAATCTTGTTTATGTATCATACAGTTTGGGTTATGTGTTGACATGACATACATTTTTGTTCGTAAAATACTTGTATCATCCACGTCACCGAGAACATATCGACACATGAAAAAGCTGCAACCCAGGAAGCGCATGATTGATTTTTTGCATTTCGCTGACACAAATATTCAACGCACTAATGAATACAGTATTTGCGAAGGATGTAAGAAATGGCATGCCAGAAATATTTCCATAATGCTTAGTGCTTAATTCACCATCAACTGTTCGAAGTCGCTCCGTTACTACGCCAAACAACGGAACAAGACTAGTGATGGGCAGGTAACACGTGCTGCGCGGAAGGTACATGCCAGACCCACGTGACCAAACCAGGAGCGTGAGGGCGGAATTCAAAATGATAATTTTGATGAGCCCATGGCAAAGTCTAAACGTGCTGAAATAGGCACGTCTCTGCCGGCTTCGAGGAGTTGCACTAAAATTTCCAGTAAACGGCTCTCGCTAATTGTCCGCACTTGCGTCCTTTCCTCGTCTGTTCGGTCCGAGTCCGGGATAGCCAAGAGATCGTGGTAGCGAGTGCGGACACCCGCTCTCTCCTCCTGGTTGGAGCCAGCCGGCGTGGCAGTTACCTCCCGCGCGGGACGGGTGCCATCGCCCACCACCGGTCTGCGGCTGTTGCTGCGCGCAGGATTGAGCGACTCGGCGTCCATGGCTGGCAACAGGCTGCAATTTTTGCCAAAATTCATCAGACATTTTGCAGCGTCAGTGGGTGTTGCCGCTGATGCTGATGATTGTTGTTGCAGTGCCTCCAGCAAAGGGCAATCGCCGCCGTATTCTTGTATGGAGATAAAAACTCCTGGGGCCGCCGTCAGGTCCTCGTCAGCCTCTTTGCCTGAAATCGCGATGGAATTCACATTGGGATAATTTTAAATCACTACAACGGGTAACGGCTATCTGCGATCCCTACGCCGCTAAGGCGACACACCTAATCCTCCTCGCGAACCATGAACGTACCCTGCTCACATAACGGCGGTGTGCATCCAATAACATTATGCATAAGCGGGTAATACCTACCAAATATATTGAGGACGATATCATCCAGCGCATCTAGCTGGTCATTGCCCCCGGCGCCACTCCGGCTCAAGCAATCACGCTTTTCTGTGGGTGGCAAATTGACGCAGTGGAGTGTTTTGGTCGACGCCTAGCGCAGTTCAGCTCGCCGTCCTGATCACATCTTTCTTGGACTCAGGATGCTCTGTTCAATGGGTTAATTTATGAGGCAGTCGGTGGCGTGACCATGGTGATGTCGCACCGCAACATGATACCGTTTATGATAATGGTGCTGATCCATCTGCCGCCTATCGATTGAATACAATTACTTAAAATCTTCACACTACGCCATAAATTGTGTACGACCAGAATCGATCAATGAATCAATCCAAGAGGATGAGATGTATATTAGTCGAATAAATCCTATGCATCGAATCATGGATGCAGTTTCAAAAATGTGTTAAATGGGGGCCGAATGGTAAGAAATTCCGTAACTTTCCACCATCAAATACCAACAGCATGGTTTTATCTGCCTATAAGCACAATAATTAGCAAAAGGAGCTGTTGAACGCATATTTTCCCAAGCTGTACGGTAGCTCTGCGCAAGCAAAATGATCAAGTGCCCGCGCAATATTTCAAGTCATCGCCATTTGCAGAGGCGATAAGATGTGCCTCCGCCTGTGCCACCGCTTCTCAGTTGGGATAGGGACCTGATGGCCTACCTTTCGTAATTTGTTTCCAGTCAACCAACGCAATGCCTGTATATACCTCCCCCCCCCCCCCTCTTCGCTTGCTGCCAGGCTGTTATCGCCTAAGAATCAAACATCATGAGCGTCCCGGAGGCTAAATTTGTCCATCAGTGTGTCACGTACTTATCCCAATTTGTTGCGTCAATTCATTTAATTCATATTCATATCAATTAAATCTAGAGTTAACAATACACACATTCACTGTCCTCACCCAAGCATAGTGCCATTCATTGGCAGGTTTAATCAGAATTGTTTTAAAATCTTTATTATCCATGTCGGCATGGGTTCTCTCCGGCAGCTCCCCGCTAAGGTGTGGTTGGCGTTGCACTCCATTTGACTTAACTGGCGATAAACCAACGATCATAGCGACTCCGTGGTTGTCGCGCAGTACCACCAGCACAGTAGTTATGACCACGCGAAGGAAGTAGATCAGCCAGGCGCCCCAATTACAGCAATTCCAGGACGCAGCCGACATGCGCGCTCTCGCGAGATGCCAGGCGGCCGCGCCGCTGCGAGCAGACGGCAGCCGCCACGGAAGGCCATGATGTAGTGAGCAGGGTGACGAAACAGACGTCCTCACAGCGAGTGGTACGGGTTATTCTGCCAGAAAAGTTACCTTGCGCTGGGGCACGGTGCCCTTACTTTAGTGACAGTGATAGCAATCTTAGCCCTGCAGTGAAATCAAGCAATCAGGGCCCAGCTGTGCCAATGACCTGATGCAATCATGAATTATGTGTGCTAGTCAAGGCACTAGTGATGTACGCATATCCCATGTTGAGGTTTGAATTTACACAGCAAGCAGTTCATGCAGGTCTTGCCTCGCGTAGACCGCAGCTGGTTGGCGTAGAGCCCGTGCCGGAAGCCACGAGCGTCCATGCTGGCCTTCACTAGACCCAATTGTATGGCCAGGTTCAGCGTGGCCACCCAGCCAGTCTGCCGTCTGGTCTGGCCACTGCACGACTGAAATCCTCCGAAAAGTATCTGCAAGGTATGGGGACACTATGTGCTCGTGGAATAATCTGTGCTAGTACATCACCCCATTTGTGATATTACTCGCGGATCAATTCAGATAGAAAATGGTAAAAAGCGTAACGTTATTCACCACGGCCGTCACCTTTGGGCGTGTCGTAATTACAGCAGGCTTTTGCTCGACCCCCCCCCCCCCCCCACTGTGAATTTACTAGCAATGAAGGACAGTTACCGTACCGGTAGCTGTCAGCAAAAGATTGTCTCGAAGCATTTCTGAATGTGCATACCAAGACGTCCTTGCTAAACTACGGAATGCGTAGGCTACATAACGAACGCGTTTCGAAGATATATAATACTCCATGCGCAAAGTGCTTGTACGAGGAGAATAACACCTAACTTATCCAATCTTGGGTTTCATCTCAAAACTGCATTGACAACGAAAGTTCTCAAAATTTGAATAACGAATTCTTTGAGGCTGATTATCTATAAAAATGCTTACGTCCTTGCTGTTCCGAATTCCCCTAAACAGCTGGGCCTTTTTCTTCAGTAAAATCACTCGCGAACTCATCTTAGACGCACAGTAAATGTGTAAGGAAGCTGTCTTTGTCGAAAAAAGATGCGTCACTGCAAAACACTTGAAATCTGGTTCATCGTCTGGCACTGGCGTAGCCAGAGAAACAAGCGTCGTAACCATGGCAACGAGCGTCGTAGCCATGGCAACGAACGTCGAAATGAAAGGAGGATAATATTTTGTCTTCCCTCGAAAAGGAGGAAAAGGAGAAAAGGTAAATATTGCCTTGAAGAAAATTATTCAATTGACAACTTACAATCTAAGACAGATTTAACGTTACAGCTTTAAGAAACTGGCTTAATGCGTAGTTTGTGAAATCGAAAGCACACATTAATACTTGGCGTAAGTTTGTAGTTTTGCTTTGAGAAACTGGCTGCTGGTGCCAAAAAAAAAAACAGGAGAACCAACTAGGTTTTCCGATCGGCCTTTTTACGCATTCTATGGTACATTACGCATGGCATGCTATGCATGTGCTTGGGGTAGTTGTGTTTGTATGGCTTCAATATGTGCCTTCTGGGCAATAGCTTAGGATCCTGTTTCAATGGCAATGACTGGGGAGGCGATGGATATCCGTGAGAGCTTCATTGCATGTACAATGTGTACTCCGTGCTCACTAAGGAGTTTCATGCATGGTTGGGTCCCTTCCTCCGCTGGGATGCACCGATAAATGCGAATTTCGGCTATACCAAAAGCATAGTTCCTGGCATTTACTTCTTCGGTATATTTCCGTCTTTAGGAATTACGTGGTGCTTTTTAGGTACACCTGAACAAGGAGTAGTACTCGTGTGATGATTCTTTCCAAGACCAATGCTAACTTGTCAAAAGGTTTTGACAAGTTGATACGATAGATAGGAGGGGATGTGGCTCGTATCGTCTTTACGTAAATCATATAACTTGCCTGTGCGTGATCACTGTGGTAAGATGGCCCTAGCTTCGTTATCTTTTTTATCACCATCCAGCGCTTCATGGATCACGCGTTTTCCACTGACCTCCAGCGTGAGTGTCATGTTGCTGGGTATCCATGCTGGTCTGTAGTGGTTCGCTTCCTGGGAATATAGCCTGACAACTAATCTCTTACACTTTTCAGCAAGTTTCATAAAATCAGCATTGCATGCTAACTGCTTTATACAGTTACGCTCAGACTTTGACAGCTGAGGCTGGAGAAAACGGTGGCTCTTGCATGCATCCACAATTCTGCATTTTACCTGCTATACCTTCTATGTCCTCTGAACCACACGGCAGTCTACATACAATATATTCTGCGGACCACACAGCCTGGCCAGCCCCACGCCGCGCAGACAGAAGGCAATCCACATGAGAAGCCAGAAAAGCCATCAGATTTGATGGACGAATCCCTTCAAAAGGCGTCGCTACGGCCCCGTTTTCCTGACAGTGACTGTTGCCAGGGGTTCCCCGCTCTCATTTCAGCTACCTTCCACTTTATACGGAGTACAGGCCAAAGCCATCAAGAAGACCTTCAAAATATCGTACGCAATCATCCAACTGGCTCTGTCAGAACTCAATCTGGACCAAAATAGGTCGTTACGAATGGTCAGAGCGCGGCGACCGCCCAAGAGTTTCCGTATGTGGCTCCAAATCGACAATTGGAGCTCTGGAGCACTGCCGCACCGGCCGACTGTGGTTGGGGCTGGCCGGCGCGGCAGGCCCTTGCTAGCCGACGGCGAGCGTGTGCGCCCCGGGAGTGGCAGACGTAGAGACCGGATGCCTGGGAGTGCGACCAGTGATGCTCGAGATGCGGTCCGAGCGTGCTGCGATGTGGAGAGCTGCTCTTTCGTCCAGATTTGCTACGGCATTGACTTACGAATTTTGCGTTCAGTGTCCGAAAATGCAAGTTTTTAAAGTCGTTATGAACATTTGTTGTGGACCACACATGCTGGAATTCAGCTAATATTACTGTTATTATTATTACTATTGTATATCTGTGTTTTGGTGTGTGTTGTATATCTGTGTAATGGTGTGTTGTGTGTGTGTGGGTAGGTGGGTGGGCGCATGCTTGCGTGCTTGCGCGCGTGAGTGTGTTTACCCATTGTCCTGTATTCTTGCCATCTTTAAAGAAACGTTACATTTATATTTTAGTAGTGAGTGCTGCCTATACACACGGAAAACCAGAATCGCATTGATGTCAATGTTAGTATCTGAATACAGAGAGAGAGGGAAAACATTTTCACGCAACGTTTTCCAGAAGCAAGAGAACCGAACTAAATTGGTTCCTTTGAATGGCTTTCCAGTGCAGATATTGCAAGGAATCAATCTCGTCTCAGCAGGGTCAAAGCCGCGTAAAAACATATTATGCCTCGCCTTGAACTGAAAAGCTTTACTCAGACTCCTTACGTATTGACAAGCAGCTAGTTTGTGGAGCTAGCCAGAGCCTTTCACACCCTACATTTGGAAGGTTGTTGATGTGTTCGGGAACCTGGAGGGGCTTCATGTTAAAAACCAACGCTCGTATTGAAAAGAATTACATAAATTTGCAACCAAACCCCTAATGGAAGGGAAAGGAGATACGAGGGGATGGATGATGAGGATGATAGGGAGATTTTCATGGCAAGCTAAATACTACACGCCCATGAAGTTAAACGAAGTGAGAAGAGGGAATAGGGGTAAATACGGAGGCAGGTAATCGCATTGGTGACTTCGTTGGGATCCAAGTCGGTGGATATTGTGAAGCTGCAATTATCAAACAGTGTGCCATACCATATGACTTGATTGCCCGACCGTGTCCCGTGGTCACCCTGAAAGACATTGGAGCAAACTGCAACTTTCCAACAGTAAAACAGTTGTTCCAACAGTTGTCAATTTAGGGGTCCATTCTACGATGGGAATAGTCTGGCCATGTGTGCTTCTTTGATTCTGTTGCATTTGTATCTTAATTTGAGCATCCATCTTTGAAATGAGGTTTAGTCCTTCTTTGGTTTGGAAGCAAAAGACTTCGTCGGAGACGCAACAGCAGCACGTGAGGAGAGAAAACTTCCATTGTGAATTATTACTTTTATTTTGTCATATAATTATCATATATACAATAATTATATATTGATATATTAATCATATGGGTCATGTTATATAAAAATACGTCATAATTATACATTTTTTAAAGATTTGATCCGAACCCTTTGAATCGATGGATTTCCGGGAACAGAGCTCACGCTAAGCAGTGCTTGTTGTGTGAGCCCTGACCCCTACCATCTGATCGCGCAATTCCAAGTCAACGGCAGAATTTAGCGGCGAAAGCTTAACGTGCCGCAATGCTCGGCACGGTCCGTTCTGCCCTCTGACGTCAACTGACCTTTAGCGCGACCGCTGCCACCGGCCGCAGGCCATGCTAATCAAGGGCAAATAGCGAGCACCCTAAAGCGACTCGAACCCACCCCGCCACGGGTGGGTGCGTCGGATGGCAGGCGCTCTAACCAACTGAGCCACCGGGACGGACAAAATTATAATATATTAATAAAGTTATTATCTTTTTATATATAATATAAAATCCATAGTAATTATACTAATGCATTCTAGTATATAATTATTACAACAGCGGCACGTGGGGTGAGAAAACTTCCATTGTAAATTGTTTCTTTGTACAGTGGGCACGACTGCCTGAATAATGTTTTGGTGAGATACATGTAACTTAAAAACATTTTTCGAGGCTCATGGTGTAACATGCGTGAAGAAAAACACAGACACAGTGGCCTATGAGCTAAAAAATGTTTACGGACATTCCTTCTAACCTACGGATCGCTGTAGTATTTAAGAGCTTGATTTCCTACCTATTCAAGTAAAGCCATTTACTACACGGTATTTTACCCTGCAACAATGAAAATGTGACTTGCCCGTGAACTTAAGTGGTAATCACAGGTCATAAACAAATTGATGAGCGAATGAGCATTCATTTGACATTGCGGCTTATTGTGCCGACAGTGATGATGTTGCGTTATTTGGCACTTCTTCCTGATACCGAAAATCGCCCGCATCCTTTGGGCCCCAGTGGAGCTTCCCTTTGTGTGGAGCCAATTAAAGTCGCAGTCTGTAGTTGCTGGCCGATGGCAAGGCAGGTTCCAAGATGCAACTCAGAATGGTGGACTTAAGATGAGGAGGGCAGATTAATGGTGTTCGACTGAACTTGGGTCGCATGCGCATATTCCTTCCTCTGTATATTCACCATTTTTCAATAGGCGTTATTGACCCACCAAATTACATCCAACTGGAAATACATTGGATAAAAAGGGCTCACTATTGCGTGATTTAATGTATTATGACCCCCGAGATTTTTCCATATCTGCCAACCGGCGGCTAGCCACAGCCGCGTCATGACCATACATGGCGGCCGCACGTAACAATACTGCGTAAAATTGTCCGATGAAATGAATTCACTTTACTGAGGAGACGCGGACAAGCTGTTTGCCGTAAGCCAGGCTCACTTAACTTCCTTATAACAAAAAACAACCTTGCAAAACATTTGGCCAACTATTTGTTTCCAAGTTGGATGGCGGCGGCAAAAACGTGGTCGACTTCGTTCGACCCAATCTGACAGCTCAAGTGTAAAAGATGCGGGGAAATCGCAAGTGCAGGCTCTAAATCAGAAATATTGTCATTTTTCTCTTTTTTGGATTTTCCTCAGTTCATCGGGTATGAAGCTGCCGAGAATTCCAGGGGTTCCCATTCACCGCCCCTCTCCCTCTACATGTTTGGTCGACGTTGTGCCGGTGACGGTTACTTCTGGCATTATTTAAATAAAACTGACGGGCCGTTACCTGCAGCCTTTTGGCAACACAGCGTGAGATATTGTCATGGCTGCTTACGGACCGTGCGCAACCGCCGCCGTTAGTTTGATTGCGACGGCCTTGTTTTGATAGTCCGGTGGTCGTGAGAGCCAGTGAAGGGCACGGCACAGCCAGCAGAGAGTCCGCCAGTGGTCTGGCACGCATCGGTAGGCTGGAGTCTGGCTACACAGGCGTGGGGCGAGTCGTCATAGTTTGGCTCTTCTCGCTACCCACTGCAGTCATTGTGAAATATCGCAGCTTGAAACGACCAAACGCTGTTGAATGCGCCGTTGATGA